CCTCTTGCTTAAGGGTCTCTCTAGGGACTCCCCTCACTCTCCAGTGTCTAGCTGAGATCAAGTCCCTCTGGCCGTTGTCATTTGGGAGGCAGAGCCAACAAGGTTTCCATATGGACAGAAAGACTATAGGGCTATTTCATTGCTCAGAAGTTCCACCCCTGCATCTTCTAAAGGAAGGACAAAGTTGAGGGAAGCCCACAGAATTGCAGCCCTAGCTGTGCTGGAACGGATGCCATTCAGGCATCCTCCAGTGAGATCTGTTTTTGGCTTAGACAGCCCAGGCGAAGGCAAATCTCTTTTTCATTCAAATCCACCTTCTTCTAAAACTATCCACTCTGGGAACCTGTGAGTGTACAAGCCATGAATAGAGATCATATCCTCATTTATCATCTTCCTGAGTTACCTATTAAGGAGGGAGGGGTGACCACTTTACCTTCTCCTGGTCTAGCCTAACCTTATAACTGTCCATTTTACTAGGTATTCTGGGTGTTCTTTAATCTCATCTCTCCTCCTTCTTCTCTCTCTCTCTCTCTCTCTCTCTCTCTCTCTCTCTCTCTCTCTCTCTCTCGCTTTTACCATCCCTGTGATGCACAAAAGATGGTTCAAGTTTGACTTGGCTTTTTGCAAATCTCCTGGTACCAACTCCAAGAATGGCCCCAGTCTTCACGGACTCTCATATTAAGTCCTGAGATTACAGTGCAAATAGCGGACATTATAGATTTACAGAATCCCTGGAATGGGAAGAAGACCTTAGAGTAGCTCATGTGAACAGCCATCGCTTCCATTTTGAGGACTTCCTCCCGCCTGACTTCCATGAAACCAGCACCCTGTGTGTCACTTCTGCTTGTGTTGACACAGAAAAGGAGAAGGAGTTTCTACTTAGTGCCAGAGATACCAGAAGAAGATTATCCTCCAATCTTTAGAATTTCTAAGCTGGAATAAAACTTTAGAAAATATAGAGTTTCCCAATCTGTTTCTTTAATGAGATTTTTTTTCTCACAAACTTACATTGGCAGGGAAAGGTCTTATACCATCATCGGGTGTTACAATTACAATATCCCTATCAGTCATTCAGACATTCCTTATGGTCTGTCAGCCAGATAGTCAGCCAAAATGTTTATTGCTTACTATGCCAGTCGGCCCTCCTATGGTTTGAACTCAGTTCCTTTTGGAACTGAAGAACAGCTCTGCTCAGTGCTCTGGCATCTGTTCCCAACTCCCCTCCTTTCCTTCTCCAGTCTGGATAACCTCTGCTTCTTCTATTTCCTTTCTAGGTCTAATTCACTACACACCTCCTTCCCACCTCTCCACCTTGGTCAATAGGCTCCTTCCCTGAGCTGGGAAGGGCTGATGAGGTCTGATATGTCTGCGTTGCCTCCTCTACATACTCTGTCTTGGGTCCGCCGTGAAGCTCCACTCATAATGCCTCATCCCCAGGCATGTTCTGAGACAAATAACCCATTTGAGCATTCATTTCCATTCTTGTCCTTCTGAAGGAAAAGGTTAATGTTCCATGGAAGTTGGCAACATAACCACAGTCACTGGGTTTGTACTCCTAAGACTATCCAGCAACCCTCAGATCCAGGCAGTGCTGTTTGTACTGTTCCTGGTGATTTACCTCCTGACCTTCACAGGGAACCTGCTGATGCTGCTGGTGATCAGAGCTGATTCCCACCTCCACACCCCCATGTACTTCTTCCTGAGTCACCTCTCCTTCCTGGATGCTTTCTATTCCTCTATTGTTGTGCCTAATCTGCTAGAGAACCTTCTTTCCAAGTGGAAGACTATATCCCTCCTTCAGTGTTTCACCCAGATCTCCTTGGTCATATTTTCTGGAACCACCGAAGCTTGCCTCCTTTCAGTCATGGCCTATGACCGGTTCAAGGCTGTGTGCCACCCGCTATTGTACATGGTGGCTATGAACAGGAAGGTATGTACTGGCCTGGTGGGAGCATCCTGAGCCATAGGAATAGGGACTAGCCTAGTCAACACCCTCCTCCTGGCTCAGCAGCGCTTCTGAGGCCCCAACCTCATCCACAGTTTCTTCTGTGAGCTTCCCCCAGTGCTCCTGTTGGCCTGTTCTGACCCCTACATTAGCATTGCCTCCATCCTGACCTTCATGGGGGTCCTGGGCCTTGGCACCCTTGTCCTATTGCTGGGTTCCTACACCCGTATCATCATGACAGCCCTGAGGATCAACTCTGCCACAGGTCGGAGCAAGATCTTCNCAGCTGTGAGCTGCCCTCTCTCTTCCCTCTGTCCTGCTCTGATGTCTCCACCAATTTTACTGCTCCTCTCTGTTCCAGCCTCCTGCATGCACTTGGAACTTATGTCCTAATTGTTTATTCCCACACACTCATTGTGTCCACCATCCCAAGCACCAGCTCCTTCTCAGGTAGAAGCAAGATCTTCTCCACGTGCTCCTCCCACCTAACTGCAGTACTCCTGTTTTGTGGTGCAGCTTTCCTTAGCTATTTAGTACAAAATTCAGTTTCACCATTGGAGTTTATCACCTCTGCACAGGGCAGTGTGCTCAGTCCCTTAGTGAACTCCCTCATCTATAGCTTGAAGAGCAATGCAGTGAACGTAGCTATGAGAAGGACCTTTAGAACATATCTCCAATATTTCTGGTAGCTGATCAGAGTCAGAAGATGATGGAAAATTAGTTTACTACAGCAAGATATTCTGGTAAGTGGACAGTAAGAGAACGTCCTGATCGCTTCAGGTATTGGAAGCAGAAAAGAATCTTAGAAATTCATAGAGCTAGCCAGATGATCAAGAGATCGATATTAAGAATGAAAGAAGGGAATGTATATATTTTTTTAATTGCTGAGTAGTATTCTATTGTATGGCTGTTCCATGTATGGTTTGTTTATCTATTACCAGGGTAAGAACATTTGGGTTGTTTCCAGTTTATGTCTATTGCAAATAAAACTGCTATGAATATTCACATACAGGTTTTGTGTGAATATAAGTTTTCAGTTCTTAAGTATTAATACTCAGGAGAGGGATTGCTGTGGCATATGGTTAAGTGTCAGTTTAACTTAATAAAAAATTTCCAAGCTGTTTTCCAGAATGGCTGTATGATTTTACATTCCCAGCATAAATGTATGAGGGACTCAGTTACTCTGCAACATTGCCTGCACTTGGTGTTGTATTTTTTAATGTATGCACATAATAACAAAGCTTCCAAATAATAAAGCAAAAACTGACAGAACTGAAGTATAAAGAGTACAAATAAAGAATACCAAAAAAAGTACAAATTCACAATTGGAGATTTCAACACTCTTCTCTCAATAATCAATAGTAAAATTAGAAAACCAATCTGTAACTTGACTACAGGAAATAAATGTAGAAAGGACATGAAGAATACTATAAAATAAATTGATCTGGCTGACATTCAGAGAACACAACCAAAAAAACAGCATAATACACATTCTTTTCAAGCACACATGGAACAAGCACCAAGATGTTTTATTGTAGGGGGAAAATCAAACTCAACAAATATAAAATAATTCAAACATATAAAGTATGTTTTCTGACCACAGCTAGAAATTATAGTTTATTCTAGAAATAAGCTAAACATCAACAACAGAAAGATATCCAGAAAAATCCCCCAAATATTTATAAATTGAATCACCTTCTTATAAATAACAAATGGGTCACAGAAGACATTACAAGAAACATCAGAAAATGTTTTCAATGGAAAGAAATTGAAATGTAGCATATAAACATATGTGGAGAGAAGCTAAAGTAGTGCTTACAAAGAAATCTACAGTGTTAAATATTTGTGCTGGAAAACAAAAACCATCTAAGTTTCAATTGTAAAAAACAAAGAAAAGAAGAACAAATTAAATCCAAAGTAAGCAAACAATTAGGAATAATAATGAAAGCAGGAGTGACATCATCAAGATAGCAACATACAAGTAGGTAGTTCCCAACTCACAAGAAAACCAACTAGCAACTCTCCATGGACAAGACACCATTATAAAAATCCCAGAATCTGGAGGTGAGGCTAAAGCACCCCCCAGGGCCTCAGAGACTGAGAAGGATCACATTAGAAGGGTGAAAGGAGCTACTACCCTCTGGCCACATCATCCCTCCACCAGGCCAACACAGCACCACACCAAGAGGGTCCCCTGGGTTTGCAGTTTCTCCAGTGGGAAAAAGAGAGCCCAGGGTGGACATCCAACTCCCCCCCCCTGCCCCCGTGCTGTGGCATGCTTCCTGAGAGGCCCATCAGGCCTCACCTCCACAGGGATCGCTGGGAGAATCTGTGTGTCTTGACCACTTGGGATCAGATAGAGACAGAGGAGAGGGACAGTGGTATTCACATATTAGCAAAAATTTAAAAGACTGACGCTACTAAGTGTTGCTGAGGCTGTGAAATAATGCCACTGGTGGTGGGGATGTTAGTTGGTGTAACTTCACGGGCCTGGGACTACCACACCACAAGTGGGCTAAAGCATTATAGCTCCATCAGTCTGGGATGGGCAAAATTGATTAGTCATATAAAAATATCTTTTCTGTTGATTGACTTCTTTGATCATCACAATTTGTAACCCTGGTATTTGTGTTCCTCAACTCAAATGGATGGTGGGAAATAGTTCAGAAGTAAGCTGAGGAACCCTGCATCGCTTCCCTGCGAATTCCTAAATGAAGCACCCAGTTCCTTACAGGTCCATACGAAACTGCTACCCAGCCTTCCACCTTTCACAGTTCCTAGACATCCACCTAAGGGTCAAGGCCCTTGCTTTGATCCATAAGTTCTGAACACATCTTACCAGAGAGAATGCCCCATGGTTCTTACAAATTTCAACTCGTCTAGTTAATTAAAGTTTGGGATTTAGTGGTGGCTTCAGGGAATTCACAATGCAATATATAGGTAATGTTTTATAGAATTGTACATTTGAAA